TCATCTGAATGTTTTCGACCAAACGTTTCATGCCAGTGGAAAACTGTTTGACGGTGGATTTGAAGGTCAGTCGAAAGACGCTGTCGCAGCAGGTGTTCGCAATGGAGAACGCAAGACAACTGATATTGAAACAAATGATGGAGGCAAGCGTGTACCATTTATTGTCGCTGAACAGCGGCATGAACGAGAATGCAACTTCGAAGAAGAATATCCTCATGCATATGGTCGATGTGCCGACGATCAGCTTCACGGCTCGTCTCCTTGTTATTGCCTGAGACTGGGTCGCGTTGGCTACCTGGTTGCGCAAGCGCTTGATTAACAGCAGTGTCCGTAGCAGCAGCGCGATCACTATCAGGAACACGGACAGGCTTAGCAGTTGGTCGTACCGGTTGTACACCTGTGCTGCGAACTCGGTGCCTCGGTACGAGAACGACAGGTTCCAAGGGCTGTAGACCAGGGCACAGCAGGCCGTCATTGTTGGTACATTGCACAGCAGGCCGATCAGCCAGCAGCAGGCGACGGTCGCACAGCACACTGGTCTGGTGAAAATGCGCTGGTACGAGAAACTGAACCTGACCGCCCAGAACCTGTGGACCACAGGGCGACCATGTGCGCCAGGCCGCTGAGGTACGCCACGTTGATGACCACGCCGATGGCCTGTGCCCCCTCGTCGCTGACCGGTACGGCGTTGTGGTAGGTAGACACGCTGACGTAGCACAGCATGATCGCGTTATTTGTACCGTCCGAGCACAACGTAGAAACAAACAGGATGTAGTAGGAGGACGAACGCAACGACAGAGTGGACATGATGACGTAGGGAATCAACGCGTTGACCATCAGCGCTGGCGCATTGCACAGTATGAGGATCAGCGAGGCCAGCGTACCGTCCGTCATTCATAACCGGTGCTCGTTGCGGCCCTTTCGTTTCTCTCCCGACAGCAGCCTGGCTGGATTGCGCTGGCGGATTATAACCTGGACGCCTGCTAAGCCAGCTGGTCAATAGCAGATGTGCATTGGAGCGCGGCAGGTCCTTTTTGAGAAATGGTTTCTTCTCAGCGGCAAAATGCACATTGATTATACTAATTTTGCTGCGGTTTCACCGCCACCACGAAACCTTCCGTTTTATAATTATCTATCCCGTATTCATCTACTTCCTGTTGTGTGACCATACGAAACAGTCGGCAATTAGTGTCACTCGCATTCGTTTGGATGAAACTCGACATGTTGCACGTGACATGAATTTTGATACTAATTTATTACCTAACTTAATAATTTTGACGGAAAATATTTTTAAATTAATTTAATTTGCCCAACAAGCCCCAAGTGATCATTATCGACGAGCAAATTAAAATCCTTTAAAAAAATTTCTCTCCTTCACTTTGCGTTGTACGATTCAACGTTTTGATGCTGTTCACTCATACAGTTGAAGCGTAGCCGGAACTTTCGGTTAGATACCGACCCCACTATAGTGACAAAGTGATATATAGGTATATAGAGTGGTTGGATTCACAAATGCCCGGTATGACAAATGGCCTTGCTCTTGAGCCTTTGCTGGGATGACACGTGGTGCTGATTATCACTCACATAGCTAGATGAACCAAGGACTGGCGCTCATTCATTCTATCAGATCCTTTCTTCTTTCCTTGATTCATTTCATTGATTCGTTCAACGGACCATTTCGTTGACTTGTTGCACCCAAGCGTAGCACAAAAACGGAGAGGTTATGCCAAACGTCGACACGCTTCGAATTCCAACACCGACTGCCACTGACGATTATGTTCTGTTATGTTAATGCTTTATTACCGTGGCGAAACTTTGACTTGACTTTTTCATTCATGCAGTCCTGATGACGTCACAGTTGCTGGAGACCGAGCACGTCGACGTCTTGTATAACATCTTCATCGCTGCTCTGTACGGTGAGCTCTCCATTGTACTGATTATAACATCAGATAAGCGGTTACGAGATGGACCAGTGAGAATTGCGATCCTGACAGGCGTTCGCATCAAACAGCATGGACGAACCTCTCGCCACTCTGCCGTTAGCACTTATGAATACTGTGCCGTTGCTGTTGTTCCCAAGTCAACGAACTGGCAGAAGTTCCTCGACTGAATATACACAAGCTGCATGAGATGAGTTCCTTCCTCAAAGCGTTTCGCGGTTAAGACAAAAACTCGCTCTTCTCTGGACAGTAACCCGACAACAAGTCTGGAGTTTGAAACCGATCTCTTGCGCCGTTCCACCGCCCCAGAGGCTTTGCCAGCTGCATAAAGTAATGAGAGAACGAAGAAGACAGCCGGACTTCTGGCAATCCATTGACTGCATCAGAATCTTAAGAAAAAATACAGATTTCTTGTCTCAACTTCCAAAATGATCAACGGCCCACAGCAACAAACAGTAATTGCTTGACAGCATTTCCAGTAAGCGAATTGAATTGTCTGAATTTATGAGTGCTGAAACGCTTGAACGCCGTCCATCCTTCCATCCAACGCGTGTTTGTTCTTTTTGTTAATATCCAAACTAGGACTCAGCATTTCCATGATTTCACAAGTTCTTATCATATTAAGTAAGCACCATGCCACCCGAAAAACTGTTCTTGTCATCGCAGAAGCTTATCACTGTTTCATCAGCTAGTATTTATGATCATTAGTCTAGCGGCAGATGGCATATTGAACTCCTGGCTCAGTTTGTTTTTTCACCGCAGCTTTGATTCTAGAATATTCACAGATTCTATTATTAGAGAAGCTCTGTGTCCATCGAACGTTTTATGACTGCCGTTTAATAGGCTGAACATAAGAAATTTTTTTATAGTTTAATTCGTATCTGTGTTTGTTTTTCTTTACTGTGATGTTTTGTTAAATCTGTCATGCTGTTTCTTGTTAATGAAATGGATTTAAGTAGTGTCGAGAGAAAGGTAGAGAAATTAAATAAAAACAATGAAACATGTCAAGCGCTGACCCTACAAGCCACAGGTACCTTATCGATGTGAAACAAGAAATTTTCGCTGAAATTCGTTAAAGGCCTTCATCAACAGAGAACCGAAAACGGCAAATGTTTTCAGTGAGCTTTTTACCACGCATTGGAAATTCAGGCTACCTCAGAGCTTTTTTTACAAATATCCGTGATGCGGATGATAATCATAATGGTGATAATAGTGTCAGTGACGATTATGGTTACTCTTTATGACGATAAAGGGTTTCCTGCTCTAAGCTATTTGGAATTATAAAAATTTCTTCAGCGGTTACACCAACGTGTGTCGATATCCAAGCTTCGGAAGAAGAGAAATGAACAGGGCAAGTGACGTAATGCCAAAGCGAACCGCGTTAGAATACATTTTTCGGCGTATACCTCTCATAATCGACGAAAATGTGATCGATTAAGACATTTACGATCGCATTTTATGTCTTTTAAAGAAATCTGTCTTTGAAAACTCTTTGAGGACAAAGTGCGACAGAGGAACTCGAAGCCACCGTCAGGAACAGTTTTAAAAAGATGCCAAGATTTTGTTACAAACTTTGTCTGCCTGCTGAACGTCGGCTAAATATCCAAAAACTAGGCCAAAATATAGTCTGAACGGTACTGATGAACCTTATGCAAATATCTTAAAAATTAGCCTATCTTTGGTCAAGAGTGAGGAACGTCTCGAGGAGGTGGAGCAGCATGACTAATGACTCCACGTAGTATTCCTACTGTTTTGTCCCCGAAGGACATTTTCATCAACGTTAGATTTTCCTCATAACTTAAAAGCAACAGCCGACAGCAGAGAGCGAAGGGCAAATGATTCAGCCGCAATTCATATGACCTCTTCAAGATAACCAATCAGGTGAACAATCTATGGATTTTACGTCCGTCTGATCGCCTTCTGATCAAAGGCTAATTGTAAGTTGCCGTGAAAATGTATCCGCACTCTGCATTAATTTGAAATTTCACGTCCGATTGATTGATTGTTCTTGTTTTATTTGATTTATAACCTCGCTCCTCGTCACATTATCTGGTGACATCCTTTGTAACGGTTTCACATTTCTACCGCGGTGGAAAAATCTTTTATTCTAAGCTTTGTTAGGTCAGGACTGTTGTTTCGATATAAACCAGGGCTTACAGCCAAACGATTTTCTTACAAAATTTGATGTTCACTTCTGACGTACAGAGAACAACGCAAACGTAAAAGTGATGGTCGAAAAATCCAATTTCATGTGTTTGTTTATGTAATGCTTATTTAAGGATTTTCAGGTGAGGCAAAACTGTCCCATGACTAATTTTAATGGTGTATTTCATCAACCTCTCGCAGTTGCCTAGAAGGCCATTTAAGCTGTACACAGCTCCATGTAATCTGAGTACCTACAGTGCTAGATGTATCTTACAGTATTTTGTCCGCTAATGCTCCCCTTGCAACTCCGCCATGGCCGGTCCCAAGCCCGGATGAGAAAGGAGGAGGGTTGGAGACCGTGGCAAGTCCCCGTAA